CCCAGACCCACCCAGGGGCAGCCAGGCTACCAGGTCAGTAACCCACGTCCGTCAGCACAGACCCTCCCCTAGCCCCGCTGCACGCAGCCACGAGGAAACCGCCACCTGAGAGTGACCTTATTTCTTAACGGGTATATGTATTCTTTTATCCTCGTCCCCATATAAGGCACATTTTAAAGCAGAAATTACTCAAAGATCATGTTTAGTTTCAGTTTTAGCTATTAGGTCCAACTAATACCAGGCATCTAGGAGAAATTAAAGGTCTCATGAGATAACATGATAAATCAAAAACTATATTTTACAAGACTCTGTAAAAACCGCTTTGTAAGAAGTGTGTAATGTTTTTGTGAGTTTGTTTTACAGTTTCAGGGTTATTGTGTTGAAAGTTTTGAGACATTTGCCCATACGTATATGCATACAAATAGTATCTGATCATTAGAAAGAGTGTAAAAACTCAACCAGTATACAATCAATGTTGCGTCCATATGCAGCTTGCCTACAGTGCACAGAGTACACTGAGAAAGTAAATTATACCGAGTTATACTCACATTTTACTGATAATAGTCAGGACATAGGGGTTAAACTATATACGGCGTTGATGTAATACAATTTTACAAATTTTTAACGAGGTGGAAAAACCATCACACGGATTAATATTTAAAGTAGAAAAAAAGTGTTTATATGTTTTAAAGCCCGTCTGAAAGAGGTTTGTATGTTTTCTTTGTGCTTTTCTGTTCTGTTCTGTCAGGAATTCACAGATTTGGGTCTAATTTTTTTTTTTAAGTTTAAGGCGTATTCTCTGGCACTGGCTTAAAAACCAGGGACTTTGTCCACCCTTTCCAGCGTGACTGCTTCCTCCTCCTCTTCCTCCCCCTTCTCTGAAAGTGTTACCCTCTCATCCTCTATCTCCCCTCATCCGCTATTCTCCTCCTCACCTCCTGCTGCACTCCATCCCTCTGCTGAGCACAGGTATTTGTTTAGGAATCTCTCGGTGGAAATTATACTCCATCTCCGGCGCTCCCTATCAACACACAATTATCATGGGCAATCATGCAGAACAGCGCTGAATTCAGCTGGGACTCCCACTCTGATGACATTACTGACTGCAAGGCCCTGCTACTGCTGGAGGTAGCCTGCTCCACACCTGCATTACACCTCCCTCTCTCTCTCTTCGTCACACACTCTCGCCTGGATATGGATAGAGAAATGATTAAAGTTTCTTTTTTTTTTTAATCTTATTAGGATTTCATTTAAACCAGGAAGTCCACCAGATAAGAAATGTCTTTCTTAAGGGAGACTTGGCTGAAAAGACTGCTGCAACCTCAAACAGGACAAATCCTGTGATCTTATCTCATAATTTATTAGCATTTGCCCACCAATGCTGGGCCTCCTTTCGTGACCTGCAGGGGGGCTTTCCCTCAGTGCGGCTTCTCATAAATCTGAGCCAAATTTGATCGACTCTGTGTGGGGATAGTCATTTGAAATTTCAGGAATTTGGAAGTGTGAAACTCCATCATTAGAGCCTTCTGTGAAGCCCAAGTCAGTCTCGCAAATAATCAATGCCTTACATTGTGTCACTCTCTCCTGCATTCTGAGGCAAAGCGCAGATGCATTTCCCTATGTATGATAAGTACATTATGAGTCTCGAAAGGCGCAGAGTTGATGCAGACACACGAGAATCAACACAGGAGTCCATTCAGATCCTGATCAAATGCTCCATTCATGAGTGAAATTACCATCCGTCTGTCAGCCAAGGTGTGAATTCTTTCATCTACAGATTCTGCCTCTGAAGTTGTGATTAAATGCATAACGCCACATACACTCCACATAGAGTCAAGATAAGCAAAATGGGATTTCTGTCTCTCAAGGTGGCGGTTGGTGTGTGATTCAAGTGAGGCAGCAGTGCCATCTTGTGGTCATTTCGTTTATATATATATATACATATATTTATGGTTTTAGTGCAGTGCTTAAGAGATGCTTAAAGAATCAGTGAATCCTGTTTGATTATTGTTGTTAGTTTCCTAGCTTATTCATGCCACTGGTGTCACAAATCTGTAAGTTGCGCTACATCGGTCCTATTTTACACATTTTTACAATTTCTGCCGCCTCATGCACGGGAAATAAACTGATTGTTTTTGCAAATTAAAATTCTTTCCTTTTTTCTCCCATTTTTCTTTTATTATAAAGAAGGACTGTTTTATTATTAGTTTTATTTACATGCATCTGACACAATGCACAATCAACATTGCTTTGTAACAATGGTAAAAGGATTTTAATTGGCAGCAAAAGCAGATCACAGAAAATATATATATGTACATATATTTGACAGACATGACGTTATATCTCGCAACGCACTCAGAACAGCACAAAAAGAAAGGGAACTGTGAACAGCGTTAACATAAAACTGTTGCCTGTGCCGAGCCAATAATGTGGTCAAAGCTAAAAATGCACACTTTTAGGTGACAAATAAGCAAATGTTGACACACAGTGACAAATAAATATCTGATAACACAATGAGATGCATTAATATGATCCTGCAATCACCTGATGATCAAAAAGCACCAAAACCAACAATAAAAATGTTCACCCACAATCTGAGGCTCAGTAGCTTATGAATCTGTACCATGAGCTCCACTGTTATCCAGAAACTATTTAAAACACAGAAATTAGGGATACCTTTTGCACTGACGTGAACGGTTCATTTGAGTTGATGCACATCTGCTGACCTGCTTGTGTAAATACTCACCAGTGTATTTATATTCAGCTCTGAACAGAATAAAATTCAACTTTTTTTCTTCTTTGAGTCATATTTGAATAAAAACTAAAAACACTGGAATAATTAAGGATCAGTTAAACTTGTTTTTTTTGTCCTCACAGTCAGGTTACAGTCAGAGAACAGCAGTTTGAGAAAATACTGATGGTTTTGGTGCTTACATGTGTTTAATGGAGGATAACAAATATCAAGAATTACCAGCTTTAACCTTTAAAGCAATGAGCTGGCAGAAGTTATTTCCCAGTACTGATTCCCATTACTATACACTCAGATCACGATGCCACCTTAGAAGCTTTTTGTAGATAATTTTACAAACTCTTTTATATTTTTTAATTACATTTTCAGCCCATACACAATCCTTTAATATTTCCAAGCATACAGCACTCTTCCATACTAACATATCACTGCTGGTGCCTGAATTTCATGAAAATACTCAGAAAATACCACAAAATATCACAGACACACGAGACTCTAATAAAGCTGTGCTCCACAGATACTTCAGCATAATCATTGTTCTTGTGAATGTTTCATACAGCAGAGGACCAAAACTTCAAGAATGAAAAAAATAAATAAAAGCATAATTAAATGTCGTCATGAATGCATTAATGTGCCATTAAATGCACTAAGAATTACATCAAAATAAACACGGATCAATTTATATTATATTTCTATTTTCATTTGCTTCTGTATTTATTTTTTTCTTTGATAAAGAAAATGTGAATTTTGGGGGAAGTTTCAGGGAAAACACTAGGGGATAATTAAATTAATTAATATATACATTTAAAATCTTTTATATTCATTATTAATAGATATGAGAAATACAAGAGAAATTAAATAAGTAATAAATATTAAATATGAAAGCAGACAAATTAACCGAAGGGTAAATAAATAGAAGACCAGCAGAAATATTAATTTATGGCACATTTCAGAAATTAGCGCCTCGGTTTATTTTTAATATTCATTTTCGTGCATTTTTTAAATTTCTTGTTTATTTTTCATTTTAAATGTTTTGGGTCCTCCGCAGTCTCCGTGCTATCTTAGCTGAGCTGAAAATGACTCAGGTTTGAGTGAGCATGACGAGCTCAACAACAGCTGAAAATATTCAAGCATGTGCCACATAATTGCCAAACCGATTCCAGCTTTTACACGACAGAAAGACTGAGAAAAGTATAAAACCCTCATACAATCCCGACATTCGGGCTCTTCTTCTACTGCTGGTAAGTCACTGGGAGTGAATCTGGATGGTTCGGCCGATGAGGAGGAAAAGAAGGCCGGCCAGGAGGCAGAAGAAGATGCCGATTGGGGCAAACATGAAGGAGAGACCGTAGCTGAAGGTCAGACGGAAGTCTGAACACAGAGCACGCTGGTGGTCTATGTAAAGGTCTATCACATCCAACACCTGCATCCACAGTACGTACATCACCACCACACACAGCAGGAAAAAACCTAGAGGTGCGGAGAGGGGTAGTGAGATTTGACAACATGTGCTTCAAATCAGATTAATAAGATCAACAATCTAACCGTCTGTGGGAGAGACATGTACATGTTCTATAGTAAATTATGTTTGCATTTGTGGGGAAGCAGAATTGTACAGGTTTCATTTTAAATCTCAATGTCATTAGCCTATTATTTGTTTTAAAAGCAACATCTGCATCTGAAGATCCACCTGTAGCTAGAGCTCTTTGATTAGTTTTATTTTATTTATTTATTTAAACTTTATTTAACCATGGAAAAAAATAAAAGAGTTGTACATTTCATGTCATTGCTTTAGTCAGAATTCTTTTTTTAAATGCTGGCAGTGTAAAAAAACAAACAAACACAGTGTCACCTGGTTTTTACTTACCAGCTATCAGAAAGAAGCCACCCCCTGCTTTATACAAGCGGTGGCCGGAAAACGGAGCAGCGCAGATTATGATGAAGCCGCCAATCACCACAGCTGCTACAGCAATGAGCATAAAGACGCTCCAGAAACCTCTGTAAGCTGAACAAGAGGGATGTTAAATCAGCTCTGTGACACTAAACAATGAAATCACTACATAAAAAACACAGATGTGAATAAATACTTACTTATGGAAGACTCGTACTCTGTGGCATTGTGGGTCTGACGAGACACAGGGAATGGGAAGAGGTAGGCAGGCATACATACTTTTGAGTCAGGCTGATTGGCTACAAACAGAAAGAGAAAAATACTGATTTTTATTTACATCTGCAGAGAAATCATTTCTATTTGTCTATACGAGCATATATGGAAAAGCCAGAGTGAGCAGTTGGCGGTGGGTTGCAAAGTGGCTTGCAGTGAGAGCAGCAACTGCAGGCAGGCTAAAGTAGCTGAAGCTTTTTATGTAACTCGCCAACTC